TGGATATGCTTCTCATCAGAATTTGGAGGATTCAAAAAAAAAAACTAACTGAATGAGAATGACACCTTTAAAACAAGTGCCATTGTTGCTTGAAACACTCTTCTCGACAATATTTATAGTATATACATATATCTCTTTAATACCCTTGCCTTATCCACTACCATTGGAAGCACCCTGCAAAAGTAAAGGATCAATAAGTTTTTCAGCAAATGAAAAGAGAAAAATAAAAGCATATTCATATCTTCAACCAAAGGAACAATAGGGAAATACCTGAAAAAGACCTTGTATTTTTCCATTTTTTCCAAAAAAGTCCTCAACTTTGAATTTTTTTTTTGTTTCAGAAAAAAAAAACCCTCATCCTTCTAAATGTTTCCAAATAAACCCTCACATTTTAAAAAAAATTTTGAAAAAAAAAACTACCAGGGCCAGATCGGAAAAAATGAAAAAATAAAAGGTCTTTTTCAGGCAAAACTACAAAATATAAGGTCTTTTTTAGATTAACCCTAAACTATTACCTATATTATCTTAGATTTAATTCATATGTAATTTAAAATAAAAAAGGATACATCCATAAACAATTGCAAATTCTTTCCCTGAATACGACCATTGAACATCATGTACAGGTCCTTCTTTTCCTGCAAAAATTATAATAATTAATAATTAAAAAAAATATTATCAAATGAAATGTTACATACTTACATTCAGTGTATAAAGAAAGATAAAGTTACGTAAGGGCAGAAGCCCATTATGAGTTTCATCTAAAGTCAAATAATACAGCTTTGACTTTCCATAGTAACTCTACTCTGGTTAGTTTTATCAACATCTGATTGAACCACAACCAGAAGCCTTGTAGAACCATGGTTCCAATGTTAAGCTGTTGAACATCTGAAGAAAGTTCTTGTACTAATGGGTTCACTTTGGGAAGCCTGTGTACATGCATATATCAAGATAAATGAGCTTATATCAACAATTAAGTGGAAATGGAAGCTCTTAAAAAATGATTACTAAGAATTCAAGGTGAGTATTGAATTAGAATGACGAACCTTAGATTCTGGAACAAATACAGCATCATGGGATCCAGGTTGCTTAGAAAGCTCTACTGCAGCTATTCCAGGAATTCTAATCTTATGCACCATGCCTTTTGAAAAATCAAAGAATTGAATTTCATTTGTAGCCATACGAGAAGCAACAGTTTCATCAGAGCTACATCTAATTGATGGCCTGAAGAAGATGTAAGTCAAGTTCAAGTAAAGATGTTGCAGCTTATACAATTATCAAACCATAAGCAAAAACTACTGTTATACCATGTTCTTCTGGGACATAGTTTAAACTGATTCTCCTGTTTCTGTCTTCCAAAATGTGTTTTTTTTTCTTGTGGTGATGATAGTTTCTGAAAGTAAGTTCCACATGGAGATACAGAGAGAGAGAGAGGCAGCAAGAGTGTTGGGGGATACAAATGATCTCATCTATTTTGAGGTTTTGGAATCGTAGATGCTAATTGAAGTTTCGGATTTCATCACCATGGGTTTTGGTTACCGTCATCGTATTGAACATGGGTTATTAAGCGGTGATACAGTTATGCTCCTTCTTCTCTGTCTATTTCTCATAATCTCCTTCTCTGTGAAACCTCTTGTGTGAGACCCACCTCCAATTGGTTACCTTTTGAAAAAAAAAAAGATGCTTTTAAAATCGATCAATGGCTACAACAATAAAAATATAATATGAAAAAATCACCAAGATTCAGATTCAGCTTCTCTTCTTCATAGGGTCAACTTCATTGTCACATTGAACTACTGAATTCCACCACCCTCTACATAAATATATATAAATCATCAAATTTCATATTGAATTTGGTGATTTTACAGCATTTGAACATAATTGTAACTTGGTGTGATGGTAATTTACCTGAAAAGAGAAGTAAAAGACCACATGCTATGTAAAATTTAAGATATTGGTTAAATCGTTTATCTAAAATTTGTTATGCTCATGTATAAGAAAATCTACACAGATACATAACAAATAATATTCATATACAATGAAAACGTACAATTGAGTTAGAATGCTGATGTAAAAAATGTTTATATAGTAATAAACGATATTAACTTTTAAAAAATAAGCAACAGTAGCTGAAAAGAAAACTCTTCAAGCCTTTACTCCACTTGTTTACTTTGAAGGACAAAAAAGAAAGGACAGAAACGCATAGATAAGTTACCTGAAAAGCTTGCCTGTGGGTATAAGAAAGTGTAGGGCAAATTCACCACGAAAACGTACAATTTGACTCCAAAATATCGCTGCTCCAAATTCATATCGAACACCTGTCAGTTGGAGAAACATTGCCCAGAATGATAAATACTTTACAAACAAACAAATGTAAATAGACAATTCCATTAACAATTATTAAAGCAAAACTAAACCAAACGAACAACGTAAATCTCCTCTTGAGAGTAGCAGATAAAAGAAATTTGAAAAAAAAAATAGATTTGGGAGAAATCAATTACTTGTACAGAACATAGAAAAAGAGGGTGGTGGGAATACCTGATTGGATAACTAAACTGGTTTATGTATTTCATCACCTCCAATAAGACACTCATCTTCGGTGCTTCAACAAGAGAGATAAAAGATTATGTTGTTGCCCCTGTGCATCATATCATATCATATAATAGTTAAAACCATGATAATATCACCATTGTGTGAAGCACAAATTGAACTATCAGGTAAAGAATTCGGTTTTGAAGTTGAAAGTGCAAGGCCTCTTATGGATGTTGCCTTCATAAGGGTTAATTCAGGCAAGGATCTGAAAAAGGTAAATAATATCAAAATCATGTGTTTATCGACTTTTTTATTCAATCAAAATCTAACTCCCCTAATTTCGATTTTCCCATTGGTAAAAACAAGAACAAGGCCAGCATCAGAACAACATGTTGAAGCCCAACAACAAATTGAGGAATTAAACTTCTTTTTATAACAAACCTTCTTCACTCCCTGTATATATATAAATATTTTTATATTTAAAATTGAGTATACAAGAGTATATAAAATATGTCAAGAAAATTAATTCTTCAAGTTCTAAAATCTAACCTGAACAGCATGTGAAAGTGAATACACGTAAACAGCTTTCTCAGAACATAGTAGCAATGACTCCTTCACTACCCCATCATCAAACGAATTTCCTATTATACCCTTAGATGCATTAGATCCTCTGCCAGCTGTCCCTTGCTCATCTATATATCATTTGTAACATATAAATAAAGAACAATACAACAAAAAAAAGTATGATTTATTTACTACCTAACATTTGGATTAAAAGAGCTTTAGAAGGTTTTTTAGGATGAACTGATCCATTATTGAGAATATTTCCTGTTTCACATTCAAGTGCCCAAGCTGATGAATCCTTTGTTGCTGCCATTAACACACTTTTCTCAAATCCATGCAAACTACACATCCCAAATTGCAGAGAGATGACAGCTGTCGAGATCTCACTCGCTATTCGCCTTTCATATAACACAGTTGCTCCTCCAATGTCAATCACCGAAACCTTCATCATTTTTTAATTTACGTTAATTTAGTTACAAAAAGGGCAAAAAAGGAAAAAAAATGATATCTTACATATCCTTGATCTGACCCCACAGCAATATGTTTAGAGTCATGACTTGTAGTTATTGAAACCACTGCTCCATTCACCTTCACAAGTTTAACACTTTGAACAATATTGCTTCCTTTCTTTGAACTTGCTTGTAAGGACAAAAAACTGCTCTCTATGGCATATGGCTCAGGTTTAAATTTATAAATTCTAACCTGTGACATAAAATATTAATTTTAAATTGAAATGTAACATATTTTTACAATATGATATATAGATACTCACTGTTCCAGTTTGATCTCCAGATATGAGGAGGCATGTTTCCATATCATAACACAATGCAGTCAGTGGAACACCACTTAAAGTCTGATCATCTTCACTTTGTTGATTAAATGATACAATTGGAATCAAAAGTGGAGATGATGCATCCCAGAAGTTTATACCACCACTGCTATGTCCTGTTATGTATATGTTTTTGAAATTTGAAAAACTCGTAAAACCAGTTGAAGAAGAAGAAGATGAAGATGAAGATGAAGATCCGTCTTTTTGCTTAGACTCAAATGAGAAAAGTGAACGAATCTTTTTCGACATCAACATAAATATTAGCACTTATCAGAAAATTATAAGCAAATAAATACCTTTTGGACATTCCTAAAACACCCATAACATCAGCTTCTCAATGAAGGCATGTTCAAGGGATTCACTTGCATTATTCAAACCATGGTATTGAGAGTTTCTTATCTGAAAAATGAAAATAATACACAATCAATCACACATGAACAAAACAGAAAATGTTTAACAATGAACCTTGCTAGTAATATAAGACATATTTCAAGCTAGTATGGATATACTTCTCATCAGAATTTGAAGGATTAAAAAAAAAAGAACTAACAGAATGTGAATGACACCTTCAAAACAAGTGCCATTGTTGTTTGAAACACTCTTCTGGACAACATATATATCTTTAATACCCTTGCCTTATCCACTACCATCTGAAGCACCCTGCAAAAGTAAAGGATCAATAAGTTTTTCAGCAAATAAAAAGAGAAAAATAAAAGCATATTCATATCTTCAACTAAAGGAACAATAGAGAGTTAAATAGCTTGAATACTCTAAAAACAAAAACGTATATAGACAACAAAATTAACCTGGTATAATATATGTGGTAATTCACCTTGATTTACAGTATTTTGTTGAGGTGAAGCAACAGAAATAAGGGTTTCCTTCAATTTTCCTAACCCTGTCTTCATGTCCAAATCAAGATTCTTGAAGAATATCTAAAAGGGAAAACCAACATGAGAATAGGTAAAAAATCACAATTGTACATGTGCTACACATACATAGATTCAAACATACTTCAATTGAAAACTTGAGAATTGAGATTTGGCATTGCATGTATTTTCAGCAAGTAATCCAAGAATTAGGTGGTTAATATGCTAGACTGCCTACGCATGGTTCCAAAACCTATAGCAAGGGAATTGAAGTGAAAAGAAGAATTCCAATAACCACAGTGATTTTGAGAATAAACATAAATCAATGGAGTTACATACCTTGGAGGTAACTGGAATTATCCCAATCATTAAACCCTTTCATAAGCCTGCACAAGTTAAAATGTAAACTTATCATATATCGCACCTACTCAAGAAGATGAAAAGAAACAGCTCTTTCAAAAAAAAAAGATGAAAAGAAACAAAATTACAACTTGTCTGTATGAGCCTGTTGCATTCCCAAATAACAAATTAAAACCAACAAGGTTCAAAAATACCTCAACATTGTGAAATTGGGAAACAAATAGTGGAATCAGACAAACACAAAGAAACCCTCCGTCTACTATGGACATCGCCTGTGAGAGGCGTCGATTTGGGTGAAAGCAGAGATGTCGAAGAAAAAAGGGGATGAAAATCACTCGTTATTTCTTTGCTTTGCTTCAAGATTCTGAACGTTTGATTAGCTGAGATCAAACCAAAGAATATTTCAAGTCTTCTCTTCAATGGGGTTGGAGCTTATAAGTTGATATTTGGGGTGTGAGGCTTCGATTTCAAGAAAAAAAAAGGCGGAAGAGGAGAAGTTAAGTGAAGCGTTGTTTCAAGAAGGGAAAAGAAGAGGGAAGCAGCAGGCTAGCAATTATAGTATTCCATAACAGAATCCCTAATCTAATAAATTAAAAAAAAAAAACAGGTCAAACCCAATAAAAGTGTAAGTTTAATGCAACAAAGGAACTTCCTGCCTCTAGTATATTGGTTAATAGATTAAAACCAAAAGGATTTAATAAGACCTCAAGATTCTGAAATCAGGAAACAAATGGTGGAATCAAACAGGCAAGAAGAAACCCTCTGTCCAATTCCACTGGGAAAAGGGGAAAAACCGGTCGTTAAATGGCATAGACACCTGGTTTTACAAGAATGAAATTTATATAAATTAAGGAGTTAAAAATGAAGAAATAAGATGAGAATAATTAATTATTAGGAAACAGGTTCAGAACAGAACAGGATGCTTAGTCACCTGTTCCATCCAAGAATCATAGATAAAGGTAAGTTTTGGTGACATGGCAACTGCTCTATTCCCAGTTTAACCAACCGGTAAGTTTTGGTGAGGTGACATGGCATGGCATGGCATGTATTTGACACGTCATCAAATGCATACCAACTAGACACCATGTCACTCACCAATAACTTACCAGTTAAACCGGTCAACAAGCGACTCAGGTGGATTGTAGCAATTGGATAAAATCTGAATGACATTGTGAAGAGCAGACAATAATATTACTCTTGCATCACTCATCTTCAGTGCTTCAACAACAGAGATAAAAAGATTATGTTCTTGCCCCTGTGCATCATATCATTAACTATAGTTAAAACCAAAGCTGTGATTATAGACGGAAAAACTTGTACAGTTAAATAAATATATTCACAGCTTTTGTTTTTAAAAGCCTAATAATATTAGCATTTATCATATGATTATAAGCAAATAAATAGCTACCTTTTGGACATTCATAAAACACCCATAACAGTAGCTTCTCAGTTGATGCACATCCCAACTCAAGGTTGTCATCAATAACACGTTGTATGGCATGTTCAAAGGATTCACTTGCATTATTCAAACCATGGTATTGAGAGTTTCTTATCTGAAAAACGAAAATAATACACAATCAATCACACATGAACAAAACAGAAAATGTTTAACAATGAACCTTGCTAGTAATATAAGACAGATTTGAAGCTAGTATGGATATGCTTCTCATCAGAATTTGGAGGATTCAAAAAAAAAAACTAACTGAATGAGAATGACACCTTTAAAACAAGTGCCATTGTTGCTTGAAACACTCTTCTCGACAATATTTATAGTATATACATATATCTCTTTAATACCCTTGCCTTATCCACTACCATTGGAAGCACCCTGCAAAAGTAAAGGATCAATAAGTTTTTCAGCAAATGAAAAGAGAAAAATAAAAGCATATTCATATCTTCAACCAAAGGAACAATAGGGAAATACCTGAAAAAGACCTTGTATTTTTCCATTTTTTCCAAAAAAGTCCTCAACTTTGAATTTTTTTTTTGTTTCAGAAAAAAAAAACCCTCATCCTTCTAAATGTTTCCAAATAAACCCTCACATTTTAAAAAATTTTTGAAAAAAAAAACTACCAGGGCCAGATCGGAAAAAATGAAAAAATAAAAGGTCTTTTTCAGGCAAAACTACAAAATATAAGGTCTTTTTTAGATTAACCCTAAACTATTACCTATATTATCTTAGATTTAATTCATATGTAATTTAAAATAAAAAAGGATACATCCATAAACAATTGCAAATTCTTTCCCTGAATACGACCATTGAACATCATGTACAGGTCCTTCTTTTCCTGCAAAAATTATAATAATTAATAATTAAAAAAAATATTATCAAATGAAATGTTACATACTTACATTCAGTGTATAAAGAAAGATAAAGTTACGTAAGGGCAGAAGCCCATTATGAGTTTCATCTAAAGTCAAATAATACAGCTTTGACTTTCCATAGTAACTCTACTCTGGTTAGTTTTATCAACATCTGATTGAACCACAACCAGAAGCCTTGTAGAACCATGGTTCCAATGTTGAGCTGTTGAACATCTGAAGAAAGTTCTTGTACTAATGGGCTCAAAGTAAATTGCGTAGATAAGAAAAAAAAAGATGTTTGATGTGTCAAAAATGTTACAAAAAGGAAAGTTAAAATATAGTCCTAAAAATGGGATGATTTTTGAAAATTGATTGTAAAATGGAAGTATTTGAATGTAAAATGCTTTAATTGGAAGTTTTTTCAATGTTAAATGCATAAATAAGAAAAACAGACGTTTGATGTTTCAATGAAGTTATACAGAGAAAAAGGTAAAGTATAATGTTAAATTTGTGATGATTTTTAAAATTTCATTGTAAAATGGAAGTTTTTGAGAGTATAATGCCTTAATTGTAAGTTTATTCAAAGTAAAATTCATAGATGAGAAAGAAATAAAAAAGATGTTTGATGTTTCAAAGATGTTAATGAAAGAAAAATGTAAAGTACACTTCTAAAAATGGGATATGTTTGAAAATTGAATGTAAAATGGAAGTTTTTGCAGATAAAATTCTTTAATTGGAAGTTTTTTCAAAGTAAAATGTATAGATGAGAAAAAGAAAGTTTGACGTTTCAATGATGTTACATAAAGAAAAAAGTTGAAGTAAAATGCTAAAAATCGGATATTTTTGAAAATCGAATGTAAAACAGAAGTTTTTGAAAATAGAATGCTTTGGTTGAAAGTTTTTTCAAAGTAAAATGCATACATGAAAAAATGAGAAGTTTGATGTTACATAAAGAAAAAGTTAATGTGTAATGTTCATATGAGATGATTTTAGAAAAATTGAATGTAAACTGGAAGTTTTAGAAAATACAATGCTTTAATTGTAAGTTCTTTTGAAAGTGAAATGAATACATGAGAAAAGGTTAAAGTGCAATGCTAAAGACCGGATGTTTTTTGAAAATCAAATGTTAGGAAGTTTTTGAAAACAAAAAGCTTTCATAGGATGTTTTCAAAGTAAAATGCATAGATGAGAAAAAGAGAAGTTTGATGTTTCAAGGATGTTACATAAAGAAAATTTTAAAGTGCAATGTTAAAAATTGGATGATTTTAAAAAACTGAATGTGAAATTGAAGGTTTTGAATGTAGAATGCTTTAGTTGTAAGTTTCTTTCAAAGTAAAATGGATGTCTTTTGAAATTAAAATGAATACATGAGAAATAAAAAGTTTCATGTTTCAAAGATGTTATATAAAGAAAAAGTTAAAGTGCAATGCTAAAAATGGAGATGATTTATGAAAATTGAATGTAAAATACATGTTTTTGAAAGTAGAATGCTTTAATCGTAAGTTTTTTCAAAGTAAAATGCATACATGAGAAGAATGGAATGATTTTTGAAAATCGAATGTAAAATGGAAGCTTTCAAAAATAAAATGCATTGATTGAAAGTTTTTTTAAAGTAAAATGCGAAGATGAGAAATGGAAAGTTTGATGTTTCAATTATCTTACTGAATTTATGACACAACAAAATATAGACTGGTTTAGTGGTGGAACATACCTGGAGTATGAAATGAAAGTACTTTCCTATTTCTGGAGTATCACACAATTGCATCTTAGAATGTCAATGAGAAAATTGAAATTGAAAAAAAATAACAGCATCAGGAAATGACATACCTTGGACTTAATATGAATATTATTTGGTAAAAGAAAATTTCTTCTCTCATCTTTCAAATAACATGTGATGACAGCTCCTACAAACACATACCAGAAAACATAAGTCAAAAGCCATACATAATCAATAATGTAATGGGTAAACTTTTCTAAATTAAAATGTTGTAAGAAATAAGAGTTCTGGAAGCATAACTTTAATAAAGGAAAAACTGAAAACACAACGCAATAGTGCAATCTTTTTTCTTGAATATAAAACTAACAAGTCTTATCAAAATTGCTTTGAGTAAACTACACGAATGGTCCCTATGGTTTGGGGTAATTTGCACGCTTGGTCCCTAACTTATTTTTTTAACTCGGAAAGTCCCTACTGTTTGTTTTTATTACGCTATTGGTCCTTGTCTTACTTAAAAAGACTATTATTTGAATAGAAAAAAATAGTCGGATAGGTAAGGTAAGGTGAGGGGGGTTGGGGTGTGTTTATTTAAATATTTTTAAAAAATCAAGGGAAAAATAGTTTTTTAAGGTAAGACAGGGACCAAGCATGTAACAAAAACAAACAGTAGCGACCTTCCGAGTTAAAAAAAAAAAGTTAAGGACCAAACGCGCAAATTACCCTAAACCACAGGGACCATTCATGTAATTTAATCAATTGCTTTCTATATATTTGGATAAATATTGATGTAATTGGTTTCAAGAAATTAACCTTTGGAGATGTTGGTTCCCGGATGAGGTTGGGGTTTGAAGGGGCCCACCATGGTTTCAGGTGACAACATCCTGTAAAAAGAGTAAAACATTAGTTTGTGTTCATGAAAATTAAAAAGGAACAAACAACCTACAATTATAGTATTCCATAACAGAATTCCTAATCTAATAAAAAAAATTAGGTCAAACCCAATAAAAGTGTAAGTTTAATGCAACAAAGGAACTTCCTGCTTCTAGTAATTTGGTTAATAGATTAAAACCAAAAGGATTCAAAAATACCTCAAGATTCTGAAATTGGGAAACAAATGGTGGAAGAAAACTGGCAAAGAGAAACCCTCTGTCCACTTCCGCTGTGAAAAGTGGAAAACCAGTCATTAAATAGCAGACACCTGGTTTTACAAGAATGAAATTAATGATGGTTAGATTGATAAATTAAAAAGTTAAAAATGAAGAAATAAAATGAGAATAATTAATCATTGAGTTTTGGTTCCACTGAAAAAATGCTCTATTCCCAGTTTAATCAACCGGTAAGTTTTGGTGAGGTGACATGGCATGGCATGTATTTGACACGTCATCAAATGCATACCAACTAGACACCATGTCACTCACCAATAACTTACCAGTTAAACCGGTCAACAAGCGACTCAGGTGGATTGTAGCAATTGGATAAAATCTGAATGACATTGTGAAGAGCAGACAATAATATTACTCTTGCATCACTCATCTTCAGTGCTTCAACAACAGAGATAAAAAGATTATGTTCTTGCCCCTGTGCATCATATCATTAACTATAGTTAAAACCAAAGCTGTGATTATAGACGGAAAAACTTGTACAGTTAAATAAATATATTCACAGCTTTTGTTTTTAAAAGCCTAATAATATTAGCATTTATCATATGATTATAAGCAAATAAATAGCTACCTTTTGGACATTCATAAAACACCCATAACAGTAGCTTCTCAGTTGATGCACATCCCAACTCAAGGTTGTCATCAATAACACGTTGTATGGCATGTTCAAAGGATTCACTTGCATTATTCAAACCATGGTATTGAGAGTTTCTTATCTGAAAAACGAAAATAATACACAATCAATCACACATGAACAAAACAGAAAATGTTTAACAATGAACCTTGCTAGTAATATAAGACAGATTTGAAGCTAGTATGGATATGCTTCTCATCAGAATTTGGAGGATTCAAAAAAAAAACTAACTGAATGAGAATGACACCTTTAAAACAAGTGCCATTGTTGCTTGAAACACTCTTCTCGACAATATTTATAGTATATACATATATCTCTTTAATACCCTTGCCTTATCCACTACCATTGGAAGCACCCTGCAAAAGTAAAGGATCAATAAGTTTTTCAGCAAATGAAAAGAGAAAAATAAAAGCATATTCATATCTTCAACCAAAGGAACAATAGGGAAATACCTGAAAAAGACCTTGTATTTTTCCATTTTTTCCAAAAAAGTCCTCAACTTTGAATTTTTTTTTTGTTTCAGAAAAAAAAAACCCTCATCCTTCTAAATGTTTCCAAATAAACCCTCACATTTTAAAAATTTTTGAAAAAAAAAAACTACCAGGGCCAGATCGGAAAAAATGAAAAAATAAAAGGTCTTTTTCAGGCAAAACTACAAAATATAAGGTCTTTTTTAGATTAACCCTAAACTATTACCTATATTATCTTAGATTTAATTCATATGTAATTTAAAATAAAAAAGGATACATCCATAAACAATTGCAAATTCTTTCCCTGAATACGACCATTGAACATCATGTACAGGTCCTTCTTTTCCTGCAAAAATTATAATAATTAATAATTAAAAAAATATTATCAAATGAAATGTTACATACTTACATTCAGTGTATAAAGAAAGATAAAGTTACGTAAGGGCAGAAGCCCATTATGAGTTTCATCTAAAGTCAAATAATACAGCTTTGACTTTCCATAGTAACTCTACTCTGGTTAGTTTTATCAACATCTGATTGAACCACAACCAGAAGCCTTGTAGAACCATGGTTCCAATGTTAAGCTGTTGAACATCTGAAGAAAGTTCTTGTACTAATGGGTTCACTTTGGGAAGCCTGTGTACATGCATATATCAAGATAAATGAGCTTATATCAACAATTAAGTGGAAATGGAAGCTCTTAAAAAATGATTACTAAGAATTCAAGGTGAGTATTGAATTAGAATGACGAACCTTAGATTCTGGAACAAATACAGCATCATGGGATCCAGGTTGCTTAGAAAGCTCTACTGCAGCTATTCCAGGAATTCTAATCTTATGCACCATGCCTTTTGAAAAATCAAAGAATTGAATTTCATTTGTAGCCATACGAGAAGCAACAGTTTCATCAGAGCTACATCTAATTGATGGCCTGAAGAAGATGTAAGTCAAGTTCAAGTAAAGATGTTTGCAGCTTATACAATTATCAAACCATAAGCAAAAACTACTGTTATACCATGTTCTTCTGGGACATAGTTTAAACTGATTCTCCTGTTTCTGTCTTCCAAAATGTGACGTTTTTTTTTTCTTGTGGTGATGATAGTTTCTGAAAGTAAGTTCCACATGGAGATACAGAGAGAGAGAGGCAGCAAGAGTGTTGGGGGATACAAATGATCTCATCTATTTTGAGGTTTTGGAATCGTAGATGCTAATTGAAGTTTCGGATTTCATCACCATGGGTTTTGGTTACCGTCATCGTATTGAACATGGGTTATTAAGCGGTGATACAGTTATGCTCCTTCTTCTCTGTCTATTTCTCATAATCTCCTTCTCTGTGAAACCTCTTGTGTGAGACCCACCTCCAATTGGTTACCTTTTGAAAAAAAAAAAAAAAAGATGCTTTTAAAATCGGTCAATGGCTACAACAATAAAAATATAATATGAAAAAATCACCAAGATTCAGATTCAGCTTCTCTTCTTCATAGGGTCAACTTCATTGTCACATTGAACTACTGAATTCCACCACCCTCTACATAAATATATATAAATCATCAAATTTCATATTGAATTTGGTGATTTTACAGCATTTGAACATAATTGTAACTTGGTGTGATGGTAATTTACCTGAAAAGAGAAGTAAAAGACCACATGCTATGTAAAATTTAAGATATTGGTTAAATCGTTTATCTAAAATTTGTTATGCTCATGTATAAGAAAATCTACACAGATACATAACAAATAATATTCATATACAATGAAAACGTACAATTGAGTTAGAATGCTGATGTAAAAAATGTTTATATAGTAATAAACGATATTAACTTTTAAAAAATAAGCAACAGTAGCTGAAAAGAAAACTCTTCAAGCCTTTACTCCACTTGTTTACTTTGAAGGACAAAAAAGAAAGGACAGAAACGCATAGATAAGTTACCTGAAAAGCTTGCCTGTGGGTATAAGAAAGTGTAGGGCAAATTCACCACGAAAACGTACAATTTGACTCCAAAATATCGCTGCTCCAAATTCATATCGAACACCTGTCAGTTGGAGAAACATTGCCCAGAATGATAAATACTTTACAAACAAACAAATGTAAATAGACAATTCCATTAACAATTATTAAAGCAAAACTAAACCAAACGAACAACGTAAATCTCCTCTTGAGAGTAGCAGATAAAAGAAAATTTGAAAAAAAAAATAGATTTGGGAGAAATCAATTACTTGTACAGAACATAGAAAAAGAGGGTGGTGGGAATACCTGATTGGATAACTAAACTGGTTTATGTATTTCATCACCTCCAATAAGACACTCATCTTCGGTGCTTCAACAAGAGAGATAAAAGATTATGTTGTTGCCCCTGTGCATCATATCATATCATATAATAGTTAAAACCATGATAATATCACCATTGTGTGAAGCACAAATTGAACTATCAGGTAAAGAATTCGGTTTTGAAGTTGAAAGTGCAAGGCCTCTTATGGATGTTGCCTTCATAAGGGTTAATTCAGGCAAGGATCTGAAAAAGGTAAATAATATCAAAATCATGTGTTTATCGACTTTTTTATTCAATCAAAATCTAACTCCCCTAATTTCGATTTTCCCATTGGTAAAAACAAGAACAAGGCCAGCATCAGAACAACATGTTGAAGCCCAACAACAAATTGAGGAATTAAACTTCTTTTTATAACAAACCTTCTTCACTCCCTGTATATATATATATTTTTATATTTAAAATTGAGTATACAAGAGTATATAAAATATGTCAAGAAAATTAATTCTTCAAGTTCTAAAATCTAACCTGAACAGCATGTGAAAGTGAATACACGTAAACAGCTTTCTCAGAACATAGTAGCAATGACTCCTTCACTACCCCATCATCAAACGAATTTCCTATTATACCCTTAGATGCATTAGATCCTCTGCCAGCTGTCCCTTGCTCATCTATATATCATTTGTAACATATAAATAAAGAACAATACAACAAAAAAAAGTATGATTTATTTACTACCTAACATTTGGATTAAAAGAGCTTTAGAAGCTTTTTCAGGATGAACTGATCCATTATTGATAATATTTCCTGTTTCACATTCAAGTGCCCAAGCTGATGAATCCTTTGTTGCTGCCATTAACACACTTTTCTCAAATCCATGCAAACTACACATCCCAAATTGCAGAGAGATGACAGCTGTCGAGATCTCACTCGCTATTCGCCTTTCATATAACGCAGTTGCTCCTCCAATGTCAATCACCGAAACCTTCATCATTTTTTAATTTACGTTAATTTAGTTACAAAAAGGGAAAAAAAGGAAAAAAAAATGATATCTTACATATCCTTGATCTGACCCCATGTCACACCCCCAAACCAGAATGGCGGAAACATTCGGGGGTGGATGACTTCACGTAGTATCACAACGATTGAATATTGTAAAGAAAGTAACACAACCATCATATATATAAAAATGAAAACGTATATTGTTGCGTTATACATGTTATCAAAAGAATATTACAATATGATGATAAATGTTTAATGATAAAAACACCCTTTGTGTTCCTTCTTCCAAAAGCTGGTAGTTTACCTGTATCACTGATTCCCTGAGAAATACAAGTGGTTTTGAAAAATGTCAACAATTAAGTTGGTGAGTTCATGAGTGTTCCGAGTTGAAAAGTATAATCCTTTTGGTAGTAATTGGTAAACGAGGTTTTTAGAAAATCCAATATTTTCTTGTAAAATGAAAAAGGTTCCAAGTTGGAATGTGTTAGTAACTTTTATAAACAATGATGACAATAATTTAGTATGAAATATAATGTAGGAAAACTGCGATGCACATATGAATCTCGTAAATCAATCTTGTTTTATACTTTTTATGTGAGTTTTATAACCATACTATGACACTGACGGCCTGTAACAACATTCTTCAAGTGTTGCAGTGTTATGACATTTGTCACCCCAGACCTGCCGGTCTAACTATAGCTAGTAGTTTAGGTGCGGGATTGTCAATCCCGTATAGATCTATACACAAGTATCACGCTCTCCCTCCAAGAGATTATGGTATATAATACAGGACTTGAAATGCATACAAAAATGTACGTTGAAGTTTAAATATCTCACATTACCTAGTATAAATAGATTTACAATGAAATGACCTTACTTCTTTTGAAAGTGTTTCGTTTTTCAAATTGTATAAAAATGTAGGATTGACTTGCTAACTATACCCATTATAGTTTTTCAGATAGTATGTTCCATTTCGTAGAATAACTTAGTGATATAATCGCCCTTGTATACATAAGATGTTTGTATCGATATTCGAAGTTAGAAATTGCATTTATGTTTAGAAAACGATACTTTTAACGTGTAATGTACTTGTATTTCCCCCCTAAAACATGAAAAAGAATTGAAAAGTAGGGGTATGAACTCACTCGTTAAGTTTGAAGAGAGGGGCTAGAGTTGAGCAGAGTTTCGATCGCGGATAGTTGCGTCGTCGGGCTCTTCGGGGATCTCTGCAACGTAAATCTTTCGTCGGGGGCTCGAGTGCGGAAACCAAGGCAATGAAATGGTCTCTGGAACAGGGAGAAATGCTGAGAAATTGTGAAGGTGTGCCAAAACTCGAGTTATGCCTCTATTTATAGGGCTGAAAACCTCGTACGCGGCGCGTACTTCCGGAGTACGCGGGGCGTAGTCAGTACGCGGGGCGTACTTCGGTTACGCGGGGCGTAATAATGCGTCATGGCTTACGACTCCTGGCTAGCTAGGCGTAGCTTGGGCGGGCCGATGGGACTCGACTCTGGGTCTAGTACGCGGGGCGTACTCCCAGAGTACGCGGGGCGTAATCCCTGCTTCCAACTTCTAAATTCCGTAACTTTCGCGTACGAGCTCCGTTTTTCGCGTTCTTTATATCCACGCGTAGGTGAGATTATGCTCTACAACTTTCATTTAGACTCCGTCGGCTAGTTTTGACTTTATTTTTAATGATATAATTTTAATAGGCCGGGCCTCCTAAAGTTCGTTAAAATTTCATAGGTTCTTTATTCGACGTCGGTTTTCGTTTGTCTTTTGATTGTTTTATTACCACCGAGGAGATCTTCAACTTCCGTTTAGGTGGCGATAGCTAAATAACACTCGATCTTTAATCCGAGTTTTTAGCCCTCTACTACTGTTACGAAACTTTGAAAATTCGTAACTTCTTCATACGAGGTCCAATTTGGGCGATCTTTTTATGCACGCTCATCTTTCAACGAGATCTACGACTTTTGTTTAGATACTTTAAGGCTAAAATGTATTTTATTGAGATTCCACTTTTTACGTCAAATTATGTTTTAACGTCGTGTCGTAATTATACGAGTGGTTATAATTTCTTCAATATAACTCGGTTTTGAGTGTTCTTTATGTTTTTGGAAACCTGGGCATGATATCTAATATTCGATGCATCCCAACTTAGATACCTGAACACTTTATTTTCGAGGTTAATTTCGTTGTTTTTAGCTTTCGAGTGTTTACAATGCTTTTGGGAAAAATAGGGTTGTCACATCATCCCCCTGTTAAGGGAATTTCGTCCCGAAATTTAATCTAAGATAGATATTACAAATTAAGAAAAAGATGCGGGTACTTTTGTTTCATTTGATCCTCTCGTTCCCAGGTGTATTCAGGTCCTCGCTTGGCGTTCCAGCGGACCTTTACGATAGGTATGCGGCTTTGTTTAGTCCTTTTGACTTCCCGATCCATGATCTCTACTGGTTCCTCTACAAATTGGAGGTTTTCGTTTATTGCAATTTCGTCTAGAGGGACGACAAGGGTCTCGTCGGATAAGCATTTCTTTAGGTTTGATACATGAAAGGTAGGGTGTACGTTGTGGAGTTCCTGAGGTAGTCTAAGTTTGTAAGCCACTGGACCGATCCTCGCAAGGATCTCGAATGGTCCGATGTATCTGGGGTTCAGTTTCCCACGTTTTCCGAAGCGTATCAATCCTTTCCAAGGCGAGACTTTTAGTAGGACACGGTCTCCAACTTGGAATTCCAAGGGTTTTCGTCTCTTATCTGCATAACTCTTTTGTCTATCCCTTGATGCCTTTAGACGTTCTCGGATTTGAACAATCTTCTCCGTAGTTTCCCGTATGATTTCTGGCCCAGTAAGTGTGTTGTCAGTTGCTTGTCCTTTTGCTAGTTGGGTGTCTCCCACTTCGGCCCAGCATAAAGGTGACCTGCACTTGCGGCCATAGAGGGCTTCGAACGGGGCAGCTTTGATACTGGTGTGGTAGCTATTGTTGTACGAGAACTCGACCAAGGGTAGATGTGTGTCCCATGCTTTGCCAAAATCGATTACGCAGGCTCTCAGCATGTCTTCTAGGGTTTGTATGGTTCTCTCGCTCTGGCCGTCGGTTTGAGGGTGATAGGCGGTACTCATGTCTAGTCTTGTCCCCAAAGCTCTTTGTAGCGACTGCCAGAATCTTGAGGTGAATCTACTATCTCGGTCCGAGATAATGGATACGGGCACACCGTGCAGTCGTACAATTTCCCTGAGGTACGTCCTTGTTAACTTCTCCAATTTATCCGTCTCTTTGATCGGTAGGAAATGCGCTGATTTAGTTAACCTGTCGACAATTACCCAAATGGTGTCGAGTCCGTTTGTCGTTTTGGGTAACTTGGTTATGAAATCCATAGTTATCCGCTCCCACTTCCATTCGGGTATTTCTGGTTGTTGTAATAAACCTGAAGGCTTTTGGTATTCTATTTTGACCTTAGCGCACGTCAGACATTTACTCACGTAGGTAGCAATTTCGGCTTTCATGTTCGGCCACCAGTACAACTTCTTGAGGTCGAGATACATCTTGTCGGAGCCGGGTGTATGGAGTATCGTGTTTTATGGGCTTCGTCCATGACGATTTCTCTGAATCCACCAAACTTTGGTGTCCATATTCGATCCATGAAATAACGAACTCCGTCGTTCTTGGTTTCAAGATTCTTATCCATTCCCCTTAGGGTTTCTCCTGCCACATTTTCAGATTTCAAGGCTTCTATTTGGGCTTCCTTGATTTGCGTGGACAGGTGGGAATGGATCGTCATAGTTAGGGACTTCACTCGGCGACCTGAGTATTCCTTCCTACTGAGTGCATCCGCCACTACATTAGCCTTTCCGGGGTGATATCGAATTTCGCATTCGTAATCACTTAGTAGCTCTACCCACCGTCTTTGTCTCATGTTGAGTTCTTTCTGGTTGAGAATATGTTGAAGGCTTTTATGGTCAGTGAAGATCGTGCATTTTGTGCCGTAGAGGTAGTGTCTCCATATCTTTAGAGCGAAGACGACTGCTCCTAGCTCAAGATCGTGCGTTGTGTAGTTCACTTCATGCGTCTTTAGTTGTCTTGAGGCATAGGCGATGACCTTCCCTCGTTGCATCAGGACACACCCGAGTCCTTGGTTTGATGCATCACAATAGACCACGAAGTCCTCCGTCCCTTCTGGCAGGGTTAGGATGGGCGCACTACATAATGCTCGTTTTAGCGTTTGAAATGCGGCATCTTGTTTTTCTCCCCAGTCGAAGGTCACATTTTTCTGAGTTAGTGTGGTGAGTGGCTTGGCAATCTTGGAAAAATTCTGTATGAACCTTCGGTAATACCCGGCGAGTCCTAAAAATTGTCGGATCTCTGTAGGGGTTCTTGGAATCGTCCAATTCTCTATTGCTTGATCTTCGAGGGATCCACGTGTATTCCTTCCTTGCTTACTACGTGTCCTAGAAAATCCACCTCCGAATCCAAAATTCGCACTTGGAAAATTTTGCGTAAAGTTTCTCTGCCCTTAATGTTTCCAGAACTTGGCGGAGATGTTGGCTGTGTTCTTCCTGGTTTCTAGAATAGATGAGTATATCATCTATGAACACGATCACGAATTTGTCCAGGAAGGGGCGACATACTCGGTTCATCAAATCCATGAACACTGCTGGAGCGTTTGTCAATCCGAAGGGCATCACTACAAACTCGTAGTGACCATATCGTGTTCGGAAAGCCGTTTTGGGGATGTCTCCTTCTAGTACTCGTAGCTGGTGATAACCGGATCTTAGGTCGATTTTCGAGAAGTAGCTCGCTCCTTGTAGTTGGTCAAAAAGATCGTCTATACGTGGAAGGGGATATCGGTTCTTGATTGTCAGTTTGTTCAGTTCTCGATAATCGATGCACATGCGAAAAGATCCGTCCTTCTTTTTCACGAATAGGACTGGTGCACCCCATGGTGAGAAGCTTGGCCTGATGAATCCCTTGCTCAACAGCTCGTTCAA